CGCAGCCCGACGCCCCCCACCCGCCTCGGCGCCGGCGGGCTCTGCTCCTCGCCTCGCAGCGCCCGTCTTCCACTCCCGAAGACTGATCGCAAAGTTGAAGTGGAGGAGGAGGAGGAGGAATTGTGAATGCATAAAGTCCCACTGTTGCGTGTGTGTGTGTGTGTGTGTGTGTGTGTGTGTGTGTGTGTGTGTGTGTCCCTAGGGATTGAACCCAGGGCCTCTGCCCCAGCTCCAGCCCCAGCCTATTTATATTTCGAGGCAGGGCCTTGCTCACTGGCTAACCTGCCCAGGCTGCGCAACCTCCTGCCTCGGCCTCCAGGAGTGCTGGGCTTCCAGGACTGTGCCCTCCCCGCCGGCTTCGCGCCGGGCTTCCTACCCTTCCAAAAGGCGCCTGGGAATACCAGGCCTCCAGAGAGACCTTTCTGCTTGGGACCCCTCGTCTGCCACGTGACGCCCAGGGGCGCTCACTAGGGCTGATCTTAGTCCTTTATCACGCTCAAAAACACCACAAGCAGGGCATGGTGGCGCACGCCTGTAATCCCAGCACTTGGGAGGCTGAGGCAGGAATATCACGGGGAGCTCGAGGCCAGCCTGGGCTCCACAGTGACTTCAAGGCCAGCCTGGACTACAGGGCATGACCCTGTCTCGATAAAACAAAACAAATTAAGAAACCAAACCACAAAGGCAGACTGGCACCGGACAGGTAATCAGCACAGAGGTGACCCTTCCGGCCTGGGCAGTGCGACCCTGGGTGGCACGGGCGGATGCTGGGAGGCCCGGTCCCGACCCCACTCCGCGGGGCCTCTCCGGACAGCCCTCCTCTGCGCCGTGGCCGGTCCTGCAGCCCCCAACTCCCTTCCGCCCTAACCGGCCGACCCGCCCTCTCCTCCCGGCCACCCGGGGCCTCCGCCCTTCACGGAAGACAGGTGCTGCCCAGCGGCTGCCCAGCCTCCTCTGCCAGCTCCACAGCCTTCGCCTTAGGCAGCCGCGGGCCGTGGCCAACCCCGCCCTCGCGCGCCCCCCAGCGGCGGAGCAGGGCAGCGGGCCCAGGGCCTCAAGGCTGCCGGGGCGCCAAGCCCAGCTCCAGGGTGGGGCAGACCGAGAAGGCCTGCAGGCGGAATTCCTGCAGAAAGTGAAACCCTGTTTTGTGTTCCCTTAACAACACAGTAGAGGCTGCAGCCGCGGGTGGTGGTGCAGGCATGTAATCCCAGCACTCCGGAGGCTGAGACAGGAGGATGGCCCTGAGTGTGAGGCCAGCCGCAGCTACACAGCAAGACTCTGAAAAAAAAAAAAAAAATCTGGCAAATTTTGTACGGAGGAGTTTATTTAGTTCACAATCGAGGTGCCCAAGGACCGCTCCGAGGATCCCTGGCAGAGCCTCAGGATGGCATGGGCAGTGCCCGCTCCGGCTTGCAGTCCGGGACAACCCTTGGCCACGCTGGGGACTCTGTGGGCTGTGACTGCCCTCCCCTGCTGCGCTGGGAGCAGCGGGCAGGGACGCAAAGGTAGGTAATGAAAACGGGGTGCGCTCACCAATGTAAAAGACTGGGTGGCAATGGCAACTCTCGAGAGAAGCTCTGCGCTCCTGGCTTCCATCCACCTGAGTCCCTCCTCCCTCCCCCGCTCCCTTCCCTCCTTCCCTCTTTCTTTCTTGGCCCTGGGGTTGAGCCCAGGGAGCTCCGTCCCCAACCCCACCTGTCTTCTTACTTTGAAACGGGGTCTTGGTTACTCTTCTTGCTGAGACAAAGTGCTGGCTGCCCGAAGTGAAGGAGGAAAGGTTGGGGCTCCGGTTCAGCTCCTGCAGCAGGAGTGGCAGAGGAGGCGCAGCGGGGCGGTCACGCAGGAGGGCGGGCAGGGGGCGGGCAGGAGAGAGAACAGGAGGGAGGGCAGGGGGCGGGCAGGGGTGAGGGCAAGGGTGAGAGAGGGGTGGGCAGGGGGGAGGGCAGGGGAGGGGCAGGGGAAGGGCAGGGGAGGGGCAGGGGAAGGGCAGGAGGAGGCAGGGAGATAGCGCTGTGCCAGGCACAGACTGGGAGCCGGGCGGCCCTGCCGAGGGAAGGAGACTCGAGCCCCAGAGGCCGCACCAGGTCACCTCCCCACCCCCCGACCCGCCCCTGCACCCCCCACCCCGCTGAACGCCTTGCTCCCCGCCCCTGCCAGGCCGAGCCTCCGGGCTCCGGGACGCAGGGCCAAACCCGGCAGGCTCCACGGCGCCCACGTCCTGCGTCTCTAGGAGCCCGCTGAGGGGCAGCAAGCGGTGCCCGGTAAACGCGTGAGCCAGGCCGGGCCGCCGCCAGCGCGGGGAGCGGGTGCAGCCTTGGGCGCCCGCGTTTAACTAAGGACGGACACACAGGGTCCCCGCGGAAAGCGCCGCCTCTCCTTCCTTGCGTGAAACCCGCGTCCGGCCTGTGCAGACGGGGAAGGCCGAGCAGAGCGGAGGCTGGGAAGCAGCGCGAGCCGGAGGACGAGGACATGGGCAGCGCTCAGCGAGGGCACTCAAGGGCCCGACCCCAGCACAGGCTGCAGGGACGGCAGCGGGTCAGGACGCAGAAAGCTGAGGGAGCTGCGCGGCTAGATCCCCGCTCCGCCCCGCCCCACCCTCCATCCAGACAGGAAAAGCCTCCACCTGATTTTGCACGATTTGCACGTTAAGTAATATATTTTGTTTATATGTTTAATTTTAAAACTTTAAAAAAAGCAGCTAAGCCGGGTGTGGTGGTGCACGCCTGAAATCACAGCCCTGGGAAGGCTGAGGCAGGAGGATCGCTGTGACATAGTGAGTTCAAGGCCAGTCTGTAGTACACAGCCACACCCTGTTTCAAAAAGGGGGGGGGAGGCTAAGCTAGGTGTGGGGGGCACATGCATGCCTATCGCCCTAGTACTTGGAGGCTGAGGGAGAAGGATTACAAGTTCAACGGCCAACATAATGAGACCCTGCATCCCCATCAAAAGGAGCTGGGTGCGCTGCTCAGTGGTAGAACATTTTATTTTATTATTTTTTGTTTGTTTTTCTCCAGTACCGGGAACTGAACTCACGACCTTGCACTTGCCAGGCAGGCGCTTTGCCGCTGAGCTAAATCCCCAGCCCCAGTGGTAGAACATTTTAGAAGCACATAACACTCTGGGTTCGACAGGCACCCCCCCACACACACACACACATAAAAGCCTAAAACTCAACCTGTATCTATACAGTATATACTTAATTGCTCTTAAGTATTTCTCAGCAGATCCCAATTAGGTCCAGGTGAACCCTTTCTGCCACCTGCCATGCAGTGCCATCCCCGAGGGCACTCAGCAAGGGGCGATGCAAAAGGAGCAGTGGGGTGTCCGAGAGCGGCATCGCGGGCTCCCCAACACGCTCACGTTTCACTTTTACTGCCGGAAACACGCGATCCCAACCCCGGCACTCTGCCTCTGCTCCCCGCAGACCGTCCCTCCCTCCGCATCTGTGCAGAGAACACGGTACAGCCGGCTCCAACGCCCGCAGCTCAGCCTTCGTGTGCGCTCCTCTCTGGCTGGAAGCTCTCAGAGCAAGGGGCTAAAGACGCAGCTGCAGCTCTGCACTCAGACAAAAGCATTGTGTAAAACATGCAGTGTAAAGCGGGTGCAGTTGCACACGCCTGTAATCCCACCACTCACGAGGCTGAGGCAGGAGGATCACTGTCGGAGACCAGTTGGGCTACACAGTGCGTTCAAGGCCAGCCTGAACTATACAGTGAGATCCTGTCTCAAAAAAAGCGAAAGACTGAAAAAAAAGCAGTCTATCACCAAGATGTACCATCGTTTTTTTATTTGGCAATAGTAGAGACACATCCATGTCATAGTGCTCATTTTGGCTACAGAGCCAGTGCTATGTTTTCTGCAAGTGCAGGGCTTCACTTTTACATAATGTTCAGTGCTTACATTTTAAGAAACAGACACTATTTACTGACACAGCCAAGTGAAGCTAAAACATGGTTGTTCCAAAATTAAACAAAACAGTAACACAATATACTGGTCATCAGGAAAAAGGGCGGGTGTCCTTATTTCCATTATGACATGATGGATACATTGTTCAATTTCATACATATTTCTTAATCTGATTCATCCAAGTAAAAACACAAAAGATCTGAATTCAGCCTAATTCTTTTTTTGTTTTTTTTTTTTTCTCCAGTACCGGGAATCGAACTCAACCTCGTGCTTACCAGGCAGGCGCTGTGCCACTGAGCTAAATCCCCAGTCCCTCAGCCTAATTCTTACAATCACTTTGCAATTTCCATCCCAAATGATTTCTGAACACCTGTTCACACCGAAATAAAAGTGAACGACAAACATGATTTAAATTTGGTTGAGAAAGGTCATGGGGAAAGATATTAATATTACTTTGGCATTTCTATTTCCTAGGCCTCAAGAAATGATAACTAAAGTTCGTCTGGAAATTAACTTAAAAGGTTACATCTTCAGGCAAGAAAACGTTTCTCAATACTTGTGACAGTCAGATAATTCAAGGAACAGGTTCCCAGTAAATGAACACGAACAAAAACCGCTATTCCAGAAGAGAAAGTTCTCTGGAGCAGACTCCAACAATATGGAGAACGCAGTTTCTCCTTACAAAGGTAGCTGTGTTTTCACATTTAATAAGCATATTGCTGACCTCTGGGAAGGAAGACTGACCTTGTTAGTTAACAGAAGTATAGGGGCACTAGATTCGGAAAAGGAAGTATCAGACATGAAGCACATGAACCTTTGCTTGTTCCTCCAGAGATGATGAAAGCGTCACCTTCCCAGGACAGACTCGGGGCCTCTGGCTCCTAACTGGGGGGCCGGGGGGGGGGAGCACGATTTTCTGATGGCACCACTGGGAGCCTGAAGGCTCTAGGCTACTTTAATTGTTTTTATTTTGTAAAGCATCGCTTTTGTTGTTTAATCTAACTTTTTAAGGCAAATGAAAAACGGGTCTGTCTCAAGCACCCTTCTGCAGTCAGAAAAGTTCTTTTCAGGAAGATGTCTCCTTAAAAAAAAAAAAAAATTAATAAACTGGGTGTGGTGGCGCACACCTATAATCCCAGCACTCAGGAGGTGGAGGCAGGAGGATCACTGTGAGTTCGAGGGTAGCCTGGGCTACATACAGTGAGTTCAAGGCTAGCCTGAACTGCATAGTGAGACCCTGTCTCAAAAAAAAAAGAAAGTGAAAAGAAGAAAGGAGGCGGAGAAGGAAAAGAAGGAGAGGAAGAAGAGGAAGAGAAAGAAGAAGCAAAGAAATTAAAAGAAATATAAAAGAAAAAAAACACAAAATAAAAATCCACCTTCTAGAAAGTCACTTATCTGATAGAATAAATTCCCCGCAGTTATCTTATATAGAAGCAGCAGCATTATTAAATAGTGCAACTCTCCAAGTGATTTCAAACAGTATCTTTCTCAAATAAAAAAAATGAAATTTACTCACAGCTTCGTTTATAAAAGCACAGCATAAAACATTTAGCCCTGAAATGAGTGAGCTAAAAGCAGTGATTGTCCTGCCTGCACGGTGGTGGGACTGAGAATGTGTGTGTGAGTGTGTGTGTGTTTCATTCAAGGCCAGTGACAGCTCAACAAGGTCAAAATAGCTAACCAATGAAAAGCAAAGCATTACATAATGGAACTTTTCATTTTGGTACTTCTAATCACACTCCTCCATCAGTAAGAACCGAGTAGGAAATTGTTAAAACACTGTGTAAGAAAAGTCAGGGCTGGGTGTGGCGGTGTACTCCTGTAATCCCAGCACTCAGGAGGCTGAGGCAGGTGGACCACCATGTGTTCAAGGCCAGCCTGGGCTACACAGTGAGCTCAAAGCCAGCCTGAACTACCAAGCAAGACCCTGTCTCAAATAAAACAAAAGCAAAACAAACAATAAGAAAATGTCGAGGAGCTACACATTCCAAAACAACTAGAATAGCACTTCATAGTGTAATTTCTAATCTATACAGTACATTCGAAACTGCATGATTCTCAATGCTATACCTTGCAGTCACTTTACTAACGGTGGCACACGCATAAACTTAAAATCTTAGAAAGTAAACCTTTCTCCACTTTTTCTACTCCGTTCATTAGTCAGAAACTAGGCACTTTAATCTAAAAATACATTTTTAAAAAATGCTTTCTAGACCCTTCTGTGTCACTCACTTCTAAAATGAATAAAGCCCACTTTAGGAGCAAAATCGACAATCTCCTCCATCACTTGGCTGAGCCGCTCAGAGTGGGATCATAATTTAGAAGCAGAATTAATGCAGCTCCCGAGTAGCTAATATACCCTGAAGAGTAGTCTCACAAGAACAACCCATTTGCTCATATTTTTATCATAAAGACACAAAATATACTTTCGTACCATTAAAAATACTGTATTCTATATCAGAGGAGAAAAAAGAGCCTTCCCTAAAACCTCTCCATGATCCAAAGTATGAATATTTTTAAAATATGGGCATAATCTGACAAACTCCAGTGGGCGGAACTCTGTGGTCAGCTCCAGGGCCGTGCTGCGGCAGGAGAAAGGAGAAATTAGCTTAATATCTCTAAGTTTAGTATCTTCAGCTGTTGGGAGTCAGTCTCAAAATTCATTCAAAAAGGGTAAAATTTTAATTGCCTTTCTTAATAAACAAATATTCTATTTTAAATCAATATTCATTCAAGAGAAAAGATTATATGAAAAGATCAAGCACTTGGGTCTCTCCAGTGTAGCTTCTAAGACCAAGAAGTAAGAGTTTGAAAACTACGGTTAATCTAACATAAAGTTGTAAACTGTAAACTTCTGGGTGTCAGTTCATTTAAATGGTTCACAACGATACTCAGTGTTACAATTTCCTTGATAAAAATACGTAAGTGCACAAACAATAGCTAAGCAGTACATAGGATACATCACAGCTGCCTAAATCTAGTTAGACAATGCGCAAGGTTCCAGGGAACTGCGCTTTCGGGCAGTTTACGTGCGCGCACGCGGGGTCGCCTCCTCCCGCAGGTGTGGTCGTGGCAGCAGCGGCCACAGCATGTGTTTTCAAGGTGCACAGCACAGACACAGCTTCTGAGAGTCACACGGAACAGCCAGCCTGAGAGGACACATCAACTAACGCCGAGCGCTGGCCTCGCTCAAGCACTCACTACTCCTGTTAATACACACATTTCCCGACTTAAATGACTCCGGGAAGGTGATGGGAAGTCCCGGATACACGACCCAGACTCAGCGACGGGAGTTCCGTTTACCAGTGGGTTAGTCGCTCCTCCGCACTCGACCTTTTCCGCTTCCCTGAGTCCAGCCGCACCGACCCTGTTATCCTGTAACGCTTGCTGCAAGTCAGGTTACCTTCAGATACTGTCCCGCCCCCACCCTGAGCGTCGCGGTTCTCACTGTGCTTTGGCCTCCACCAGCCCCGCGGACACCAGGTGGCCGTGGCCGCCCATGCAGCCGCTGGCGTGGCGCAGCGCGTCGGCGCCCAGGTGGGCCAGGAGCAGCTCGGTGCGGCGCAGCAGCAGCTGCAGCAGGTCCTCGGCCAGCGCCTCGACGCTGGAGTAGCGCACCTTCTCGAAGTCGAAGATGTCTCTAAGGAAGAACAGGACCTGGTTCTGGAAAAGGACACAGAGCAGACGGGCATCGGTGAGACCAAACCCTACGCGACCAACTCGGGAGCAGGGCATCCGAGGTCCCGCGGCTTTCAGAGCTCGGCGGGAAAGTGATCTTCGACAAGATTGTAAGTTTTCTGGGTCCAATTTTAAAATTTTCTGTAAAGAAAGGGACAATACCACCCATCCTACTTCCTACTCAGGGCTGACGGGAAGATGAAAAACCAGCCTCTCCGCAGCGCCTGCAGCCCTTCCCGTCACGTGCCTCCAAGCCTGGGCCCCCGGGGGAACCAGCTGCCCCCCGCGATCACAGAGAACTCTGAAAGGTGCCCCTCTGCACAAAAACTACAGAAAGGAAAAATAATCTCCGGTCTCAGGTCAGTGGGAGAGCTTAGCATCTCCCCCGTGAGGTCATCCGATGCTGAAACGCACTGTAAGCGTGCTGCGCTCTACCCGGTCGTGGTCTCAGCTCTGACGCCAGGGCGTCATTCCAAGGGGGAAACAGGGCCATTTAACTCCTGTCCTTCAGAGACAAACGGCGCTAAGTCCCGAGAAGGCCCAGCTCACAGGTGCACGGGCTTTATACATGGGGAGGCATCGCCAGCAACCAGCGGCCAAGGGCCCTCGCTTTCCAGAGGCAGAGAAAGAGGAGCAAAGGATGACTGACCCGAGCCAGGCCTGCCCACGACAGGCTCGGCAAGCCGGGAGCTCCGCGGGAGTTGCACCAACACGTGCACAAGGGCACAGCCACACGGCCACCTTGCACTTCCACCGTGAATGGTGCGGGGAAACATCCAAACCGGCAAGCGCACCCCCAGTCAGGAGTACTTTTCTTATTCGCTCCTCAAACTCGGCTCAAACCGAAGATGATTAACTAACAACTCTGGTAAGCGGGGGGGGGCAGTGCAAGGAGCTGCACCTTGTGCTTGGCGAGCTAACTCCTGACAGCAGCACGCTTCCTCAGACTCCCATGTACCTCCCCGACATGGGTTCTGTCACGCATGTCACGTGACCCAGGACCTGATCCTGCATCGCCGTGTGCGTGACACAGGCTGGTGCTCACTGCTTACAAACCCGCGTCCAGGTGCGAAGAACAAACTGCAGTGAAGTGACCCTGGTACAGCAAGGCCCCGAGACAGTGACCGAGCTGACGGGGCGCGGGGCTTGGTGGCTCAAGTCCAGGATACGGCACTACGTCGACTGTAGAAAGCCCTGGTCCATCACAGTGACAGAGGGGTTACAAAATGTCACTAATTGGGCTGGGGATTTAGCTCAGCGGCAAAAGCGCCTGCCTGGCAAGCGTAAGGTCGTGAGTGAGTTCAGTTCCCGGTACCAGAGAAAAACCAAAAATAAATAAATAAATAAATAAATAAATAAATAAACAAAATGTCACTAATTTAGTACCGGCATTTAAACACCGGACCTAGGTGACTTTTATAACTTTTTTTTTTTTGAGATGAGGTCTCTGTGTAGTTCAGGCTGGCCTTGAACTCATTATGTAGCCCAGACTGCCCTTGAACTTGTGACGATACTTCTGCCTCAGCCTCCCTCCCAAGTGCTGAGATTTCAGTTGTGTGCTACCACTCCTGGGCTCTAATTTCACCTTTAAGTAATACTTTTAAATAAATTCTTCTATGAAAACAAAAGTAAAACAGAATAAAACCTTGTCCACTTTTCGATTTAGAAAAAAATAACCAATGATTCAATGATGAACATACCTTAAAGAAACAACATAAGTCATAGAGGGAATTTCTAGGACCCAAAAAGCCCCAGGCCAGGACAGGGCTTATATGCTCACAAATCGCATAAAAATGGGCAAAGAACCCATCTGGGATCTGTTGGGAAATAGAAGAGAATGTGGTTATTTCTATCTTCTTGTACTTCTTCCTCTAGTAGAAAAATTGAAACTGTTACCCATGGTACGACCCATCTCTAGGACCAGAATTGAGCCCAGAACCCTCCCACTGAGCTGTATCCCTAACCTTTTAAAACTGTTTGAGACACAGTGCTGTTAAGTTGCTAAGTGGCTCAGATGGGCTTGACCTTTTGACCCGCCTGCCTCAGCCTCCTAGAGAGCTGGAATTATAGATGTGCACCACCATGCCTGGCTATGACCAACTTTTTCTGAGGGTAAACCAAGGGTCACTCATGAGCCTGCCTATTAAAAAATATAATACATGCACAAGTAACTTTTAAAGAGTCCAAGAATGTTTTTATGTAGAATTCATATCCCAGCCAACAGTTCCAAATGTGCTGAGTTTTTTCCAGTATCGGTGATTGAATCCGGGGCTTTTACATTAAGTTAAATCCTTAGCCCTTTTTAATTTTTTATTTTGAAACAGAGTCTTTCGAATTCACTAAGTTGCCTGGGCTGGGCTTGAACCTGTATTTCTCCTGCCTCAGCCTCCCCAGTGCTAAGATTATAGGCATGTGCCACCACATCTAGCTGAAAGGTTATTTCTTTAAGGGTATTTTTACCTCTTAAAAATGTGACTGACCCAAAATGCTTAGGGATTAAAGTATTACCAGTCTACAACCTAACACTCCCTGTGTCTCACGTGCACCTTACACAGGCAGCCTGAGGACCCTACACGCAGTACCCCCGGCACACTGACACTCCAACTGAGCTGCCCTGTCTGAGACTCTGTGTGAAACTTGTAGCACCAACTGACTCGCAGAACCTTTTGGGTTTTAAAGCATTTCAGATTTTAGATTTTCAAATTAAAAAATATAATACATGCACAAGTAACTTTTAAGAGTCCAAGAATGTTTTTATGTAGAATTCATATCCCAGCCAACAGTTCCAAATGTGCTGAGTTTTAAAGGTTAGGACAGTTTTAAAAGGTTAAGACCCTCAGCCTCTACTTCCTAAACAAATAATCACAGCGCCGGAAACCAGCAGTGACACAAACACAAGCGCCTCTTAGCCCTGTCCCTTTCAGGGGTATTACCACTCCCAGGGTTCCCCCTGAAAGTAGTAACTGAAAAACACTAAAACGAGTCTAAGGTGGAATAATTACTCTTAGAATCCTAGCATTTAATTAAGAAATCCAATGTTAAACATTTAGCTGTATAATCACCTCTTCCTATGGACTATTAGCATATATATTTGTGTCTTAGGAAACTAAGTTTACCAGTAGCTTTCTGATTTCAGGATCTGTCAAGAATCACTTACTGGGGGACCCCACGCTTAAGAGTCTGTCTGTGGGGGTTCGTTTTTATTTTTCAGTCTCCAGGATAATCTTTTAAACCTCACTTAAAAAAAAAAAGATAGCCAGGGGTGGTGGCGGCACACCCGCAATCCTAGAAGTCTAGAAGCGGAGGCAGGAGGACTGCAGCAGTTCAAGGCCAGCCCGGACCACGTAGTGAGAGCCTGGCTCAAAAAACAACAGCAACAGCAAAACGCAGTTATCATTTAATGAATATTTAATACATTCCAGACAATACAGCAGGTCCTGTTCAACTTGCTAAGAGATACCTGCCAAAGTGGGTCACGTTAACATCATCTTAAATATGTAACAAGTGACACCTGAGAAGTAAAAGAACCTGCTCCAAACTGCACATAGCTGGCTAGCGAAGGCTGAAGTCATTAGGCCTGCACCGCAGCTATTCCAGTCTAAGACGTCCTACAGACATTAGAGTTATAAACACCGCCATGCTGGGAATTCAGAGATGGTGTCTGGGAGGAGAAGGCACACTCGGGCAGGGGCTGAGCTCCACAGTGGGGAGATTTATTAAGTACCAAGAACGCCAATGTTCACTGAGAGCCTCCCCAAGTGACTCACAGAGGAGTGGCCATGTGGCCAGGGTCCCCAAAGCAGCAGCTGCAGGTGGGGCCCGGGGAGACATCCGGGCCACCTGCCCTCCCCGAGGCCAGCAGCACACAGCCCTGGCCCGAGGCAGCAGGTAGAGCCCCGACTTCCCAGCCTTTTACACCCGCTCCCTGCCACGTGAGCCAGACGGGGGCCCCAGGCTGCAGAAGGCACCTTACCTTCACCTGCTGCCTTTTCTGTTTCAGCACGGACCAACAACTTGAAGCCACAGCCTAAACACAAGCGGAGGGGAAAAGCGCCGTTAACCTTACAGCTGCGGACATGTGTCACTCACTGCTTTTCACTCAGATTACGGTGCTAAGAAGTGCAAGCGATCATCTACCAAAACGCCAGTCCAGGCTCCTTGTTCTGTTCGTGAACACATTTAAAGTTAAACACGAAGCCATTAAGGGAAAAAGGCTGCATTTTATTTTTTGTACTTATTTACTTTGAGGGGTACCGGGAAGCAAACTCAGGACCTTGCACTTGCCAGGCAGGCGCTGGGCCACTGAGCTGCATCCCCGGCCCCAGGCTGAGCTTAGCACCAGGGGCTGAGCGGCCACTGTGTGATTCTCAAGAGGTCTTACTCTGTTACCGTGGGGAAGGTGAAAATACACGCATGCAGAGCACACGAATGAATGTTCTAGGCGTAATAATGAAGTCAGAGTACTTCTTCCTTCAAGAACCGTATTGCTGAAATATTTGTGGATCGAGTTAAGACTTTTATTGAAGATCTAAGAAATTACAAGCCTGACGGGACAATAAAGAGCAAAATTTCTTTGGGAGATCCAGAAGAGATACAACCTTCTTCTCACACGACCCACTCTGACTAGGGTCACTACTCCGTCAGTTACAGACAAGAAGAACAAGTAGATTTTAATGATTAAAACATATCTTAATTCAGGAAAACGTGGATTTATTAAAAATGCTTTAAATTTTAATATTAGGAAGTTCCAAAATATTTTGAAACTGCTGATTGGTACATTTTTATTGGTTTTTGTTCGTTTGTAGTTTTGAGACAGGGACTTGTTTTGGCTGGCCTTAAACTGACGGCAATCCTCCTGTCTCAGCCTCCTAAGTTTTGGATTACAGGTGTGTGCCGTCATGCCCACCCAGAATACTTTTAAAAAGCATTCAAACTTCATTTAAACATGATACCCACCCACCCTTATTTCTAGGTGCACACGCAGGGTATAAGACAAACAAATTTCAATATAAAAAGAAATGGAAACTGAAAATCTAAAAGTGTAAAGTATACTTTATACTTTAAAAGTATAAAGTATGGTTTACACCAGTCATATTTTTGCACCTACTTTTTCTCACCTACTTTTTGACAGTATTTAGACACGTGACTTTTGGGACTTTCCTCCTTAGAACACATACCGCCATTTTTAAACACTGTAACTGCTGTATTTCAGCTAGGTCATTCAGCCATTCCTGTCACAGATGGTGTTTGTCAGGCCTGCACTAATCTGAGCCTGAGTTTCTGTAGAGACCTAAGAAATCCGCAGTCCCACGGGACAAGGGTTGGGTGGCCAAAAGGAGAATTTCTCATCAACACGTCAAACACTGTTCATCTCTGATGAGCCCGTTTCCACACTAGTCACCCCACGGGGAGGTGCGCAGTGTGTGTAAGTCTTACTCCCCTACTTCCGACCACTTCTCATCCAATTTAAATGGCTAAGCTAGGTAAATCAGCACTTACAGTTTTCTTGAAGGAAGACTTTATCCAGCGATTATTTACTACGTCCTGTATGGACACAGGTGGGTTTTCTAAATCTTCAAAGGAATCCATTAATATAAAGTCCAGAACAACATCATAAAAATTTAGATTCTTCACCTGCATTAAGTTGTGAATTAAAAACAAATTATTAGTATAGAAAGCTGAAATAAAATCTGAGCCAGGGCTTCATACTTTGTAACAGTAGGGTTTGTTGTTGTTGTTAAATCAGATTATATTTCTGATAAAAAAGAGGAAGAGAAGACATCACCGCTGGGAAGTTCATTCAGTCCACATGGCAGGGCTCCGTCCCAGGTCCCAGACTCTCCCTCCTCTCCCTTACAGCCCTGTCACCTCTGTCCGCCTCTGCCAGGTCTCACTCCCCACGCCGCGCCTACGGAGCTGGAACAGGTCTAGGGCACACTGGAGGCCTAGGCACAGCGCGCTAAGGGACCGCACAAGCCCCAGTTACAGACTCCGAGCAGCGCAAACTAGGAGCGGGAAGGTGCCAGAGGTGGGCTGCGCTGGAGGTCGGAGCGGCTTCCTCAGGCTCCCAGGGGAGGAAACGCCCGCCAGAGGCTTCCAGGCAAGAAGGAACAGGGTGCTGAATTCAAAGTGAGCCATAGAGCTCCGCCCCACAGGGCGTAAGATCGGTGGGAAACAAGAAGGGAGGGCCGGGCCCTCAGGCTGTGCCCGATTCCACTTCACTCTCCGCCACGGGGCGGCTGTGACTGCGGATGGAGGCACGTGACCACCCTCTCTTAAAGGCCCCGTGGGATCAAGCGTGGCGCTGCACACCTGTAACGCAGGCACTCTCCGAGCCAGGCAAGAAGAGTGCAAGTTCTGGTGCAGCCTGGCAATTTGGCAATACCTCGACTCAACAGAGTACTCAAGAAAAAGAAAAGCTGGGGGAGCTCCGCGGGACGCCTGACTTCCGGGCTGGCCGGCGGCGGAACAGTAGCATCCTCCGCCAGTGGGAGGTTACCAGGTGGAGAGGGGCAGCTGTACTCCGAGAGAGGAGCGCAGGGGATCAGGGTCGACGTGACAGAAGGCTTCAGAGCACAGACAGAAAGGCAAGGCCGAGAAGGCAGGACGCGGCCTGCCCGCCAACGCTCATGCGAAAGGCCGAGCCCCAGCACCAGGTGAGCCTGAGAGCCGGCCCGAGGATGACAGCAGCCAGCAGCCGCAGCTGAGGAGGAAGCCGCAGCCTGCAGGCCAGAAGCCCAGCGCGGGGATTCACTCTGGAACGACTCCTGCAGGGCAGGCGTGCAGAAGAAACGCCCTCGCCAGGTCTTCCAGTACTGTAACAGGACCTACGTTTGAGACAGGGCCATCGCACCTCAGGGTCCCTGGGGACACTGCCACCTGGCTGGATGGGACAGAGCCACCTGAGGCCACCAAGGGAGGGGAAGGGCCAGTCAGAGAGCCCGGGAAGTTCCAGCAGCAGGGCCCCAGGCTTGCGGCTCGCTCAGAAGCCAGTCTGCTGCGCGAGCCCGCCCAGTGGCTTCACTGGTTCCCCTCGCTGCCCTGTCCAGCTGCAGCTCAGAAGCCAGCGCCGCGTTCCCCACTCTCCGGAGTCACCCGCCACGCCTGGGAGCGGGACCCGGCCTCTGCAGCCAGCCTGTGGGCCCCCGGGCTCGCTGGAGACAGCAGTGGCTCCCAGGTACACAGGGGGACAGCCGTAATCAGCTTCTGGAGGGGCACAGCCCGGCCTCAGCCACACTGCGCCCGCCACACCCGTGGGCTCCGGGCACCAGGGTGCTGCACAGACACTGCACACCAGCGCGTGGGCAGGGAGCTCTGGGACTCATCTTCCCTTTTTCCTTTTGTTTCTTTCTTCTTTCTTTTTCTATTTTTTCCCTTTTCTCTATTTGCACTTACTTTTTTATTCTTTAATTGGATTCTCTTCTCTCCTTTCTCACCTTCCCTTTCTTTTGTGTATCTTGCTTCTTCCATTTTCCCTTTTCCCACCCCTGCCACATTTTATTCCTCTTGCGCTTAACCTTTCCGCACACTTAGCATTGTGCTTTACATTCTGACTGCCATCTCTTTTCCGTGTTAATGGCGGCACAGCTGTTGCTTTTAACTGGTCACTGCCACATGTCGGTATCTGGCTTGTCTCTGCCGTCATCGTCTCCGCAGTTTCTTTCCTCCCCGGAGTGGCACTGGGGACGGAGCCCTCGACAGACGGCTGGTCAGTAAGGAGCAGCTCACAGAAGAGTGCAGAGGTGAGAGATGCACAGAGCGGGAGAAGCACGAAGCACAAGGCAAGGGAACGCCTCCGAAGTCCAGGCTGAAGGCAAGGACGTCCAAATGCACGAATTCCAGACACAGAGTTCAAAACCGACTGACGACCTCAAACAGGAACAGCTGAGTACAGTAAGGCAGGCGACGAAAACACGGAGAAACTCAGTGAAGAGTAAGAGATTCTAAACAAGAACCGAACACGAATCTTGGAAATGAAAAGCTCAGGAAGTCAAATTAAGAACTAACCAATGGACTGGATCACACAGAAGACAGAATCTGAGCTTGGAGACAAGGCTGATGAATTATCACACACAGAGCATTATACAGAAAAAGATGTCAGAGAAGAGGAAGAAAACATCCAAGAACTCTGGGACGCTGTTAAAAGACCAAAACTATGAAATTTTGGCGTAGAGGAGAGTGGTAAGGTACAGACTGAAGGCACAGAAATCTACTCAGTCAGTGGCTGGGGTGTGCATGGGGGTAAGGCACCTGTGCAGGGTTATAAGGGCTGGGGCTCAATTCTTAGAGAAGGAAAGACGGAGGGGCTGGGGATTTAGCTCAGCGGCACAGCGCCTGCCTCACAAGCGCAAGGTCGTGAGTTTGATTCCCAGTACCGGAAAGAAAAGAAAAGAGAAGGAAAGAGGAGAGAGGGAGGGAAGGAAGGGAGGAGGAGGAGGAGGAGAAGAGGAAGAAAGGGAGCGGGCAGGTATAGATGGATGGATAGATGGATGGATGGATGGATGGACAGATCTATTCAGTGAGATAAAACCAGAAAACTCCCCAAACCTTGGGAAAGATACAGGCATCCAGTGCAGGGGGCATTTAGAATCTCCAACAGGCCTGACCAGAAAACACCCGCCCACATCACGTCACAGTTAAAAGGTCAAGAGTACAGAATAAGAAAGAACACTAAAAACTCCAAGAGAGCAATAGCGAATCACTCGTAACAGCGTACCTGTCAGAATAACTGCAGATTCCTCTGCAGAAACTCTGAAGAGCCAGGAGGGCATGGAATAATGAATTTTAACCCCTGAAAGAAAATAACTGCCAAGACATTACTACATCCAGCAAATCTACCCTTCAGTTTTGAGAGAGAAATAAGCACCTTCTGAATAAGCATGCAAGGATACATAACCGCTAAGCCAGCACTGCAGAAGATACTTACAGGAATTCCACACACAGAAGAGAAACAGTAGATAAGCAAATGAAAATTATAAAAGAATTAAAAATTAGAAAAACAACAAAGTGTCAGGAAATAGTACCTATCTTTTTACATTAATTCTAAATGTAAATCGTCTTAATTCTCCAATTAAAAACACAGACTGGCAGACTGGATTAAAAACAAGATCCAACCCTTTCGGCCTGCAAGAAACATACCCCAGCAGCACAAACACAGACTGAACGCAAACAGATGGAAAATATTCCAGCAAATGGGATCTGAAAGCAAGAGGAACAGCTGCACCCTTACACGACAAAGATGACTTCAAGACAAAATTAGTCAAAAAGACAAAAAAGGCCACTACAGATTGGTAAAAGATGCAATCCACTAAGACAGAAAATTAATATATATATGCACTGTGCGCTGGTGCACCCAATTTCATAAAACAAACACTACTCAACATAGACCCCAATACAGTGATAGTGAGGGGCTGCCATACTCCATTCTTAGGTAGACAAATCAAATAACCAACGGTCACATCAGAGTTAAACTATGCCATGCGTCAAACAAATTTAACAAATGTCTACGTAAGATCCCATCCCTCAACTGCAGAATGAGAAAGAAATCAGGAAAATAATGCCATTTATGATAGTTTAAACAAAATAAAACCTGGGGATCAACCCCACCAAGGAAGTGCAAGACCTCTATAATGAAAAGCGCAGAACAATGAAGAAACTGAAGACGACACTAAAAGATGAAAAGACTGCTCCTGTTCATGGATCAGCAGAATTAATGGTGTTAAATGGGCATATTATGGAAATTGACAGGCAGATGCAATGCAATCCCTATTAAAACACCAATGACCTTCTTCAAAGAACTAGAAAAACCAATCCCAAAATTCATATGGACACACTACAGATCTAGACTAGCCAAGGAAATCCTGAACAAAAACAACAATCTTAGAGGCATCACAATACCCAGTTTTGTTTTTTTCTCCCCAAGTACCGGGAATCCAACTCACGACCTTGTGCTTGCCAGGCAAGCGCTATGCCGCTGAGCTAAATCCCCAGCCCCACAATACCCAGTTTTAAAATGTACTATGAACCCGCAGCAACAAAAACAGTACAGTACTGGCAGAAAAACAGGCACAGAGACAAACGGAATAGAACAGACGACACAGAAACAAACTAGCGGAACTATACCGTCTGATTCTCGGCAAAGGGGCCGAAAACTACATCTGAGAAAAGACAGCCTCTTTTGTAAAAGGTGCTGGGAAAACTGGACATCCACATGTAGAAGATCCAAACCGGAGCTTCCTCGCCTCACACAAAAATCAAATCAAAACTGATCAAAGGCTTTACAGACCTGAAACTGAAACTGCCAGAAGAAAACACAGGGCAAACATCTGCAGTCACAGGTACGCCGAAGACTTCCTCACAGCTCAGGAAATGATGGCAAGAATCAGCAAATGGGCAGCCCTAGGTCAAATTAAAGTTTCTGAACGACAAGGGAAACAATCAAAAGAGTAAAGAGACAGACTACAGAATGGGACAAAATCCTTGCCAGATACTCTTCCAACAGAGGATTACTGTCTAGAATAAAGAACTAAGAAAACCCAAAAAGCAAAAGGAAAAAAAAAACCCTCAAATAACTCGATCACCAAATGGGTGCATGAATGAAACAGACACTTCTCAAAGGAGAAACGGCCAGTTAAATACACGAAGAATGTTCTAACACTTTTAGCCACTGGGGAAATGCAAATCAAAACTACACCGAGATTCCACCTCACCACGGTCAGAACAGCTATCAAGAACACACACACACACACACAATGCCGGCAGGGTGCAGGGGAAAAGGAAACATCATTCGCTTTCAGTGGGAAATGTAAATGAGCACACACACTGGTAGGGCGGTTCCTCACTAAAATACAACTGCCCTAGGACCCAGCTACGCGGCTCCTTGGTACACACGGAGGAACGAGGGTCCGCACGCTACAGGGTTACTCGTATAACCGCGTTTACTGCAGCACACTTCAGCACAGCCCAGGTGGGTTGTTCTCCACCGAAGGGGGGCTGCAGAGAAACTGGCACACACACAAGTGTGCAGTGTTATTGTGCAATAAAAGCAAAATTATGCCAACTGCAAAAAGGGGTGGAACTGAGATCACCATGTGAAGCAAAGTAAGTCCGAGGCGGACAGGTACCCTGCGGGAATCCCGAGGGCAGCTGAGCAGGAGGGAGACTGTCACCAGCCAGGAGGAAGGGAGGGGCGGGGGCGTGAGGGGGGTGTGGGCAGCGTGGCCGTGCACATCAGGAACCGGCAGCCCATGGGGCAGCCCCGCGTAAGGGGAGAGCGGCTGGGAGTGGGGCAGATGCTAATGTAGGTGGGAAAGGCAACAGGTCCTTAAAGAGTGGGGAGGGGCAGGGAAAGCAGAAGAAACAAGAGATTAGGAGATGAACTCGCAAAGCTTAGCGATGACTAGGAAGAAGCGGCTGAGGGCAGGGCGGGCCTCCGCAGCGCAGCGCGGCCTGGAGCACGACACGACACGCGGGACGGGACAGTGAGCCCCTCTCCCCCCTCCTCCCCTCTCACAGTGGGCCCCAGGCCCCCGGCTGCCGTGCTCCTCCCACCCCGCACCTGCAGAACCAGCCCTGCCCGAGCCCTGGGCAAGGCTGGCGGTGGGAGAGGAGGTGGAGACCCGGGGACAGCGCTTTCCGGGTGCTGCTGCGGGCCCACTCGAAGAATGGCGCCGGGCAGCACATCCACGCACACGCTAACTACACTGTGGTTACTTGTGTAACCGCACACACGAACATGTTCACACCCACCCGGAATTCACTCCGAAAGCTCTAATCCCAACCCCGACTTTACACCTCCCTTCACGACAGAGTCCCGCTTTGATCCGTCTGGGTAAATGCACTCGTTCCATTCTGTGTGGGGGACCAACCCCCCCACCCCCCCCCAGACCCGCCTGCTGCCCCTGCGCAGAACACCTTCCTGCTGCCAAGTGACTCCCAGGTGGAAGGAAGGGAAGAGAGGAGGGAGGGAAAGGTGAACAAGGGGAAGGAAGGATCTAAAACAACTCCTTCTAACACCTGACCCAATGTAAAAGCGCCCAGCTTGTTTGTGACTGTCAGAAGACTGCTGCCCCACTTCCACACAGTGGCTTTGTTTTTTCTGTCTTTTGTTTTTTGAGACAGGGTCTCACTATGTAGCCCAGGCAGACCTCAAACGCACAGCAATCCTCCAGCCTCAGCTTCCCAAGAGCTGAGATTATAGGCCTGTGCTACCATGCCCAGCTCACAATTTGTTTTACTGTCATTTAATAAAAACAAAGAAACAGTGACCTCAACTCATGTAAATATGTGCAAATAACGAAGGGGAATAAATATTATAAAAAACTGAATTACCCCTATAGCAGCAAGTTCCATTTCAGTACTATCCCAGTGATCAGTCTGCTCTAAAAAATATATCATTTCATCAAAAACGTCTTCAAACTTCTTTGGATTCTGCAGAAGAAAACAAATTTTCATTCTAAACTCAATGTTATAAAAAGGCTGAAGCCTACAGTAAGTAAGTTATTCTCCAAGTAAGTTTGCTGGCTTGTATTATCTCAGGCAAGTGAATCAGAACACATTTTCAAGGTATGCCAGATGTATTTCATTTACTCTTGCTGTTCCGCTATATTGCGGAAGTCAAGGATGAGAACATTAGTAGAGGTCACAGCAAACCATTTATGATTGAACATGCAGGCCCGTGCAGGCCAGTGGTGGCTACAGCGCTCGCTACCTGCTACCGGGCCTCTGATGCGCCCTTTAGGGAACCTACTCCTGCCCCTGCTTCATCTGCCGAGCACAGGCCGAGCAAGCCCCGGGCGAGTTATGGCGGGAGTTGTGAGTGACTGCTCTACACTTACATGTATTCACTGCTTTATAGTTCAAGCTGTTTCCCGTTTACCACTCAGCTAATCACATACAATCCTCGCAAATGGGGGAACACAAATTCCACTGTACAAAAGAGAGAACAGAGGCTCAGGGCCTGGCCTGGAAAAGCAGGTGCACCAAGAGCTCAAGGGAGACCTGTTTTGTTCTCCACATCTGCACAAACCTTGCATAAAATAAAGTGGGTCCCTGAATCAAGCTCGTGCCATTCTTTCCGCCTCCGTCTTCCCATGAAGAGGAGGAAGAGGCAGCTCAGTTTGTACCCCAGATTTCCGCCACACTGTGTCCTCTAATCCCCTTCCTGATCGGGATTAAGGGAGACGACAGTAACGGCAACAGTGGTTCTAGGGATGGAGTCTCACCACGACATGCACAGATTTCGTGGGAAAATTGTGAATTTATGAGAAGCAACTTGCTCAAAAGGTTGTGGACTTCATACATAGAAAATAACTAAACCCAAGAAGAAATCAATGCTCACTGGATTATTTTTAATATGTGGACCTTCGTAGCTATTTACACAAATTTTTTCAATTAATTTAACGTATTTTAGCCTTCAGTTAAACCAAAACAGTAATAAAAGACTTACTAACAAAACAAGCTTACCTTTTGTGCTTTGACAATTAAAGCCGATAAAATTTTCCTTCCACTCTCAGCCAAGAATATCCTGTTGGATGTTTCTGAAAAAATTACCTAAAAAAACCCATTCCCAAACAAAAGTCAGAAAGATACGTACGGTGAGTCTGAGCAGCCAGCTAACTTTACAGCACATCTACACACAAACCTCTAACGCAGCGCACGGCTCGCGGCAGTATGTCAACAGGCCGACCACAGACAAAGCACAAATGCACTGAAGGGCAGAGCTCTTCAAATGTATAATAAAAATTAAACGGTGAATTTGAATTTAAATCTGCTTAACATAGTTAGAAAACCTAAAATAAATTTATATAGCAGAACATAAACCACAGACATTTACTTATTTATTTGTATTATTTGAGATAGGGTCTCGCCCTGTCACATAGGCTGGCCTTGAACTCAGTATGTAGCTCAGGCTGGCCTCGAATTTGTAGCTGTCCTCCTGCCTCAGCCTCCTGAACGCTGGGATTACAAACGTGCACCACTACACCCAGCTTATTTGTATCTTTTAAAGGAAATCAATAACTTTATCAATGTTTCAAATTTTAAAAAGCTAAAATCCACACTAAATGATAATAACGAGATTCTGAAGTATCTTTTATACCCGAGGCATCACGCTGTCCTGTTCTGACCAAGCGTGGGGGCCTGGGAAGCCATGGGAAGGACAATGGCAAGTGGAGACAGCGGAGCAGGAGCGCAGCCCACGCAGGCGCTGCGCAGCTGTCCGCAGAGGGATGAAAAGAGCAGAGCCCTGCCCTGCGCCTAGGCTCGGCTCCCTGCACAGCGGAAGGTGGCGATGAGCAGGGCCTCTGGCTGCAGAGGGTGAAGATACCTGAAAAGCCTGCCGAACGCAGTGCAGCTTGGCGAGGAAGTCGCTGTCCCCGAGGCATTCCAGCACCTCAGTCCTGTGCAACGAACGGGAGACACTGTCACTCTTCACTCACAACGCAGCCCACTCTGAGTCTGGCCTCGCAGAGGCTTCAATCCCAGGACCTAGCGTAAAACACGCGCCTCCTCCGTACTCGCAGAGCGTGCAAAAACTGCTTTTCTGTTTTACTTGGACCCAAACCGTAGTTCCCCTTATTCTCATAAACACAATTTAATAAATATCGCACAAATATAGCAACGGCACCTTAGTGTGTTTCATAAACATAACCAAAACTGGCACAGTACCTCAGGACTCTCGAGTGAATTTTTCCTTCTTCAACTAAATGCATGGCTTCTTCATAAAAGGGGCAGTGGCAAAAAGACTCCAGGCTGTAGGTCTGCTGTGCTTCTCTGTGCTCTGCGAGCTAAGAACGCAGTGAGTTAGCACAGACGGCACCATGGGAGACGGTACCTGCCTCCCCTATTATCAAGATGCATGAAATTGCACAAAACCAGAAAAATCATTCATTACTTTTTTTTTTTTTTGGTCTTTTTGAGACAGGGTTTCACTCTCTAGTTCAGGCTGGTCTTAAACTCATTTTATAGCACAGGCTGGCCTCAAACTCACAATGATCCTCCTGCCTCAGCCTCCCCAGTACCAGGATTACAGGTATGCACCTGGCCTCATTACCATTTTAGGGATAACAAAACCTAATTTTTTTTCTAATTTCATTTTATGTTAGAACCTACTTGTTAAAAAAAGAACTTTGTAACAAGCTTAGTTCATTTCTAATCCAACTAACTTAAATCCACAGAGTACACAAAATAGCGATATCTTATTGTTCACCAGTAAGGATAACTAAAGAGGAAGGGGGCCCGGAACATCCAAAGAGTGCGTAACAGTATTAACTCATTAAGCAAAGCTTTTCTACCAAAACATGAAAATGGGCTCAATATAGCTATTCTTTTTTGAGACAGGGTCTCACTGTATAGTTCACACTGGTCTTGAACTCACTATGCAGCCTCAAACTCACAGCCATCCTCCTGCCTCAGCCTCCTGAGTGCTGGGATTACAGTTGTGTTCCACCATGCCTGGCTAGCTAGTCTCTCTTCTATGTTGCTTTGATTAACCTTCGTAAAACTGTTCTTTGTGTACTCTCTGTATAGCCAGTTTTTCTGGATGGCACAGCAATCCTGAAAGTTGAATTCGTCTTTTTTTTTTTTTTTTGAGACATGATCTTGCTCTGCAGTCCAGGCTGGTCCTGAACTCGTGATCCTCTTGCCTCACTTTGGTCCTGACTGCTGGGATTACAGGCATGCACTAGCATGCCTGGCTAGAATTCCAGTCCTCTAACAGCATGTTAAAGACAACTGCAAACACTATTTTGTTCAGTAGCCAACTAAACAAAAAGCCTCTGGAGTAACTTTATTTTTTTTAATACCAAAGTTATCCATTTAATGGCACACTATACTTTTTAATAATAGTTTTATGGAGATACTCACATACCATAAAATTCACCCTTTTGAAATATACAGCTCAGTGTTGTTTTTTTTTTTTTTTTTTTTTTGGTATATTCAGAGTTGTGCAATCCACACTGCTTTCTAATTCCAGAACGTTTTTATCACTCCTCCAGGAAAGCCCTAGCCATCAGCAGTCACCCCAAGTTCGGCCTTTTCCCCCGTTCCTGGAAACCACTACCTACCTGCAGGTTCTGCGGAGCTCCCTACAGTGGAAATTTCATGGAAATGGAAAGAAACACTATGTGGCCTTTGTGTCTGGCTTCGATCACTTAGCAAATGTTTCCAAGGCTCCTCCGTGATACAGCACATAGCAGAGCACTTCATTCTCGTCCACAGCTGAATAGGATTCCAGCACATGGAGCAACCGCCTGCGTTTACTCCTCAGGACTGAGGGACTTTTGGCCGTCCTAACTATGGCTGCTATGAACATTTGTGCACAAGCTCTTGTGCAGACACATGCTGCTGACCCTTCTGGCATCCATCTGGAATAGAAGGGTCAGATGGCGACTCCGTTTCACATTTTGAGGAGCTGCCTGCCAGACTATTTTTGCAAAGTGGCTGCCTGATTTCCCACATGACCAGCACTGTATGAAAATTCAAAATTTTACACACTGTCAATAACAACTGTTATTGCCCATCTTTTGTTTTTTGCTGTTTTGTTTCTCAGTGCTAGGGACTGAACCCAGGGAATACTGAGCTCCATCCCCAGTGCTTTTGATTTTCGGGCAGGATCTTGCTATGCTGCCCCAGCTGATGTCAAGTTTGTAATCCTCCCGCCTCAGCCTCCCAAGTGCTAAGTTTACAAGTTATATTATATATGTATTTTTCTTTCTCAGTAGAGGGCATTGAAACCAGGGCCTTAACACATGTTAAGCAAACAGTCCACACTGAGCTACACCACCAGCTCCCATCTTTGTGATTATAGCCACCCTAGTGGATGTGAACTGACCATTTTTCATCTTATCGGTCACTTGTACACTTTCTTTGGAGAAATGTCTAAATGTCAAACCCTTTGGCCATTTTTAAATTGAGATATTTGTCCCCTGAGTTCTAAGAATTTTTATATAGTCTGTATATAAACACTTCATCAGATATACAATTGAAAAATATTTTGTCCCCATTCTGCCTTTCCTTTTTCCAAGGTAGGACCCCTACTACTGAGTTCAAGCTCACCTTAAACTTGCTACATAGCTCAGGCTGGTCTTGAACTTGCAATCCTCCTGCCTCAGCCTCCTGAGCAGATGGGATTATAGGTGTGCACCACCATGCTTGGCTAAGTTTTCAGTTTTAATAAAGTCTAATTCATTTGTTTTTTTATATGTTAACATTTACTTCACAGCGTATTAGTGAAGCCACAGGTGAGAAGGGGACTCCAAGGTCCTTCTTGGGCACACACAGCCCATAGTGCACATGGCCTCCACGTCTCCAAGACTGGTTAGAGCTTTCCAAAGCCCCTGTGACCCCCTCGCTGGCCTGTTTTGTGTCTGTTTTTGTTGAGCCCCTTTCCTGCACCTCCTGTATCATCCAGGCAGGCAGCGTCAGCCGTAAACAAGGGGCCCAGGACGGGCACGAGAGGAGGACTGCACACAGACCGAGCCCAGATCAGGTCGTGAAAGCAAATGCTAAGGCGCTTCGCAGCAGCACCACACAGGCCGGGCGGGGACAGTCTCCCAAGGCTGAGCTGGGGACACGCGGGCCATCAGGCTCCTCCCAGGTGCAGGCTGCACAGCTGGAACGAGACTCGTGCTCAGGACTGCTGCCGAGAGAGGGGTGGCGGCTGAGAGAGCTGTGCTCGGAGGGAGACTCTGCCATTTTTCTTCCATAAATGCTCTCTGGGGCTTTCTAAGTCTTTCCTGTTTTCAGAGTTCTGAAAATTTTGACCTGAAGCATGTTTGCCAGTGTTTTCCTTGCTTTGTGAAAGGGACCTTTGGGCTTTTTTTTTTTTTTAAACCGTGCTGGGGCCCAAACCCAAGGCGTTGCCTGTGCTAGGAAGTGCTTAACCGCTGAACTGCACCCCGCTCCTCCAAGGCCCGGAGCCTTTCTCGGCGGCCCGGTGGCGGGGGCGCTGTGCTCCACGCTCCATCCAGCAGTTAGTCCTTTACGCCTTGCAGCTCACGAAGTCGGCCCAGGGAAGGATTCAGAATAAGGACACTTGTCTCGAGTTCCACAGCTGGCTGGCACATTCATCCACCCTCAGGCGCCTAACTCCAGTCTACACTGCAGAGCGCCAAAGGACACCGTTTCTGTCGGGTCTTATCCAAAGAGCACAGAAAAAGAGGTGCGGACACCGCGCTTTAGGAGAGGTATAAATATGCAGATAAGACCGAGGTTCAAAGCACAGCAGCACAGCGTCAGGAGGTGATAGTATCTGACATGGTGTATTCTCCGTTAAGGAGTGTTTCCCTCACATTTTAAGGAAATAAGTTATGCCCAAGGCAAAGCCTTTTGAAGTCCAAAAAAGAAATCTACCAGCTTAAAAAAACAAAACAAAACAAAAAAAACCCTCAGAATAGAAAGTCTTTATTAAATCATTTTAAAGTTTCTACCATCAAAACAAGTAGGTTCCAAATATCCCTACTAACAGGGAAAAATCTCAGGAAGGCAAGGAAGGCCCCAATTAAACTCTTTACATAAAGTAACTTCTACTAAGAAGTGAACAAATCCAGCAATGAAGAGATTCCAGGCTCCAATCTTGATTTAATGGTTGATCTGCTTACTTGCTGGTTGGCTGAAGTTACGATGTGAATAAGCCTTCTAAAGAAGGCTTGCGGCCGCGAACACGCATCACACTGAAGATCTGTGCTTCCTAGCAGGGCATAAACTCTTAAGGGACAATGACAGCTCAAATTTATTTGAATCATTAATCTTTGTTTGTTTGTTTGTTTTTGTAGTTTTTCTTCCGGTACCGGGAATCACTCACGACCTTGCGCTTGCCAGGCAGGCATTTTGCCGCTGAGCTGAATCTCCAGCCCCTTTAATCATTAATCTTAACATTTTTAAAGCAAAATTACTAAAGTGTTGGTTTAAATTCTTATTTCAGAATATATTTTACAGGAAGAATTTTTCAATAAAATTCTTAGATATGCTTTAAAAGTTTCATAAAAGATTAACAACTAGAGCTGAGATGTTACTTTGGATGTAGAAGTCAGTAATATGGTTTATTTATGCCAGGCATGGTGGCACACACTTGTAGTCCCAGCACTCGGGAGGCTAAGGCAGGAGCATTGTCGCAGGTTCAAGGACAGCCTGAATTACACAGTGAGCCTATCTCAAAAAACCCAAAAACAAGCCAGGTGTGGTGGCACACACCTGTAATCACAGCACTTGGGAAGCTGAGACAGGAGCATCCCCGTGAGTTTAAGACCAACCTGGGCTACATATAGTGAGTTCAAGGCTAGCCTGGAGTACAGAGCAAGACACTATCTCAAAAAAAGGTTTTTTTTTTAAAAAAAAGATTTAATGCCAGAAATAGAGAGATGCAATTTACCATGAAAAAGGGTTCTTTTTTGCACTAGTTGAAACCTGAAGCTTCCTCTATTTCTAAATTATTTTCCCTACAAAGGGTAGAGATAGAGAGACAGATACATTATGCATGCTAGGGAACTGCTCTACCATTAAGCTTCATTTCCAGCTCTCCAAACTTCATTATGATACTCTCAAAAAGAAAACTGCTACTATAGTAATACTGTACTGGTTTACACCAGAGCATCAGCCTACCTTATTAGTTCTCTCCTGTATTTCACAAGTGCCATAAAAATGATTGCAGAAGAAATCGAACAACTCAGTAACACAGTTACAACAAAAATGAAACAAAACAGAAAAATCCCACACGTGAAGGAAGTAATGAAAAGATTTAAACATCCTAATACTTCTCCTGCCTCTATGAGACAGACTCTGGAAAGAACAGGCCTTATCTTCCTTGACATATGATGATCTTGCTGAATGAGAAATAACACTTTTCCTTAAACCATTAGTCCAGACTCAGGCCTCTGAACAGCGCTGAACGAAATAACTTTGAAAGTCCCAAAATATTTTTGTTTGTTTGCTTTTGTTCTTTGAGACTGGGTCTTGCTATGTAGTCTGGGCAGGCCTTGAACTCATGTAACCCAGGCTGGCCTCAGATTCATGGTGATCCTCCTGCCTCAGCCTCCAGAGGCCTGAGATGACATGTGTGTGCCACCATGCCTGGCCCAAAACAACTTTAATAGGCTACGTTCCATGTTAATATGAGCTACTTTTTACATGTTTACATTTTCCTTTCAAATCAGCCACCTAAAATTTCAAATAGGACTTACAGCTAAAGAAAGGGGGGCAGTAAAAAAAAAAAAAAAAAGAAAGGGGGGCAGCAAAGAAAGCAGGCTGATATCCGACTTCCTAACTCACTACAGGAAAGCAATGAAAAACGGAATGAACTTTTCACTTTTCCCCTGGTGCCTCCCATGCCCTCTACACTGGCCGGCCGGGCTGCGGAAACGGAGCATGCTGCAGAAGGGGGAAAGGGGTTTCGGAAGTCAGGTCCTAGCAGTCACCACTGCCACTGCGCTGTCCTTGTCCTTCGGGGGAAGCTGGGCTGACACTTAGCAGTGCTACACTCAGCAGAAGGCCTGCGTGCGGGAGACAGGTCTGCACCCAGGGCAGCACTGCCTTGCTGCTCATGTCAGAGAGTTATCTGGCGAGCAGACCCTCCAGCCCCAGGTAAACCATCACACTTTTTTTTTGTTTCGAGATAGGGTCTTGCAAAAAAAAAAAAAAAAAAAGAGATACGGTCTTGCTACGCAGTTCAGGCTGGCCTTGAGCTTACTTTGTAGCCCAGGCTGGTCTCGATACTCCTGCCTCAGCCTCCCAAGTGCTGGGACTACAGTGTGCGCCACCACACCCAGCAAACCCCCACACTTTTATAGAAGAGAAATTGTATTTCGTTTTCAGATTTTGATCATTCTTTGGCTTTGCAGATGCTAGGTAGTAAGCATTCTACCACTGAGTTATATTCTAGTCCTGCCAATTTGTTTTTGTTTTTGTTTTTTTCAGACAGGCTCTTGCTGTGTAGTGCAGGCTGGCCTTGAACCTGCTTACGCAGCCCACCTGGCCTCAAATTCACAGTGATTCTCCTGCCTCAGCCTCCCGAGTGCTGGGATTACAGGCATGGGCCAGCACACCTGGGAGCCCCACAATATTTCACCAAAGATGAGTACTATAAACTTTAGAGCCGTGCAGTTTCTTGGATATTGTTTCTCATACTGGGAAAAATGAAAAGGAACAGAAGTTCTTCTCCATCAAAACTACCTGACCGTATTAAATAGCAAAAGGAAAGAGAAGCAGCTTTCCAGCAGTGAGCGCCACTGTTCGCACACTACTATATTTACACTTGCTCTTTCTTCTGCCCATACCTTCCTAGCACATTTTACTCTTTTTTGCAAAATTACAAGCATACACTCTCCATGATAATTTTTTTTATATACTGACATGTGTCCTCATGTCATTAAAAATTACAAAAAATGTTTACGGCTCTATAATATTTCAAATTACAGATGTCTATAATTTGGCATTCGACTGCTTTCAGTTTCTACTATTAAACTCCCACAATCAATATCATTACGTACAACTTTTGAATCAGATCACTTTTGTGGAATACAGACCTAGAAGTAGATCTGTGAACTAAAGAGGCTGCACACAAGCCTTTCCATCAAGGTAGCACTCTGCGCTCAGCTGGGGCCCGAGGCCCGCAGGTGTTTACGTGTCCCCCTCCCACAGAGGCCGCACATCTGTGCACGCATGCGCACAGCCAGGAACACTCAGCTGGGGACCCCGGCGTCTACCACGTGGACGTGCTAAACCAACGGCAGCGGCGGAACTAAGTTACAGCACAGTGGCAAAACTGTACTATACGGCTTTAAACGGAAGAGAGAGAGTCTCATGAGGTACAGACAGACCCTACCTCTGCGGCTGAAGCGAAGGAGTCGGTGGATGCAATGCTCAAGGTGTCCCGGCGGCCAATGTCGTCTGCATTTCCCTTCACTGTGATATCCGTATCCTTATCTTAAAAGCGAAAGAGGAGAAAGTTCAGAAAGGGATTTTCCTCGTCTCGGCCACATTTTACTTCTATAGCTTGTGTCCCACCTGCCCCCAGTCTGTCTGTATTTAGCCTACAGAGATCAAAGGGACACAGCAGCGCACCCGTGGGCCACAACCCTGACGACACGGTCCACGCACAGCTGCGGCTTGATTCCGAAGCAGCGCACAGCGGCGAGGGCGCCGAGCACAGGCGTCACTTTTAACACGAAAACAAGACTGAACCTAAGTTTGGATTAAAAGGGCTTCAGATACACAATCGTTTTTAGATTACCTGCCAGACAGGGCAAAATCAGCACAGACCAAAACCAATTTAAGTATTCTTCAGGGTTTAAGGTCTGCTCTAAAAGCTGAACACCCAAAGCCAGGCTGTAACCCCAGCACTCTGGGACCCGAGGCAAGAGGACTGCATGTTCAAGCCCAGCCTGGGCAGTTTAGCAGGACTCACTGAGACCCTGCCTCAAAAACTAAAACGGGCAGGGAAGTAGCACGGTGTCACTCTTCAGTACTACCAAAAAACAGCAAAACAAAACGGGAACACCCGAACAGGATGAGATCTAAGTCCCGCGTATTTAATTCTGCTTAAGGGCCAACTACAGCTGCTCCAGTTTAAAGATCAGAAAAGCTTAAATATTTTGGAAATGATTTATCTGGCCAAAGACAGGCTACCTATCAGCTATGCAGAGCATTTGAATGTAGGCAGGAAAATCTTCACATACTATTATCAGGAATCTACTTGATGACATTAAATTTTCAAATACTATTGATCGATTACACTGTAGCAAATAACTGATGTATCTCAAAGTTTATCACAAGTACAAAAAGCACAGAATGAAATATATGCAACTTTTTCTTACTTTGATTCTCAATCCGAAATTTGTCAGATACTTTATCTTCTTTAAATAAAAATGTGAAATTGCCTTGGCTTTTATTTATCAAAATTTCTATTCCATAATTCTTCCATAAATAAAATTCACTGCTTTTACCAGAAATCTCGCAAGTTCTCTTTCAACCCCTAAGCACCAGAAAATATCACATTTGTGACTTGATAGGGTAGTATACCTTTTAGTTTATTTTAAATTCGTAAGTTATGCAATTGATTATATGCCAAGTTCTAAGACAGGCAGATAGATAATAAGACACAACTGGTACAAAATTTATTCCCACTCAGTATCAAAAATAATTGTACATGTGGCATACTTTTTCCTATTTTATTTCTGATGAGATCAGATTCTATATTTTAACTACTTACCTTTTATTTTATTTTATTTTTGAGACAAGGTCTTGCTACACAGTCTAGGCTGTCTTTGAACTTACTATGGAGCCCAGGTTGGCCTCAAACTCAGTAATCCTCCAGCCTCAGCCACCTGAGTGCTGGGATTACAGGCATGCAGCAACTATTTGCCTTCAAAATTTAAATTAGAATTGATTTCATATGAAGTTTACTTTTTTTGTTTGTTTTTTGAGACAGTGTCTCCCTATGTAGTTCTAGCTGGTACTATGTAGCCTAGGCTGGCCTCAAACTCATGGCAATCCTCCTGCCTCAGCTTTCTGAGTGCTGGGACTACAGGCTTTAGTGACCACACTGGCTCAATCCTTTTAAAGTACCGTACCTAACTTTTCAGTTTAAAGTCCTACTACAAAGCCAGACATAGTGGCACATGCCTGCAGTCCCAGGAATGTAGGAGGCAGAGGCAGGAGGGTCACTTGAGCCCAGGAGTTTCAACCAGTCTGGGCAACACAGTGAAAACCTCATCTGGAAAAAAAATCCTTCTCCCACTGACTATTCATAGGACAAAATGGTTGCACTGAGGTTAAATTATTCTATTTCAAAAATACTGTAGAGGGCTGGGGATATAGCTCAGGGGCACAAGCGCCTGCCTGGCAAGCTTAAGGTCCTGAGTTCAATTCCCAGTACCCCCCAAAAAAAAAATTCTGTAGAAATTTAGTTTTCCACCAAACTAGAGAATAAAACAGGACTACTTTATACTTGTAAACAGCTACAAAACAGGTATCTTTGGAGACTCAGTTATCGGCAAAAACTCTAATTCTCTTTTCTATACATCTAAAACTTTTTAAAAATATACACCAATAAATAAATACATATGCATACTTTTGAGATTTTAAAAATTTAATCAGCACTTATAACTGTCAAAGCCTAATTTTCTTAATTTCCTTATTATTTCTCATTATTTACATTACCTGTGCCAAAAAGAAATCACAGTAAATTTTCATTCTGCTAACGTACAATGTGTAAAGTGTGAAGAGAGACTAAATTTACAAGTCAATTAACTCTTGGTTCCACTGCTTTTTGCTATTTTCAGCACGGCACAGACATTTATCTTGTGTCACTTTACCTTTCAGACGTTACCCTTGAGCTGCTAAAGGTCTGCTCTACTTCAATCAACAGAAGCCAGCCGTCCAATGTCATCCAGACCAGTTACAATGGCTGCATTTTATTTTTAAAAAGAACACACACACACAAACACACACACACACGCATGCATACACACACGCACGCACGCACATGCACACAAAATCTAACAAAGGAAAATGGCTCAATTCCAGAGGACCTAGAAAGATGTACTCATTAAATCCAACTTCATAACCCACAAGCCATCCCTCTTATTCAGTAACTGTTATGATTCCTGGAATGGCAGCTTAATAATCAGGAAGAGAAATAACACATCTGTTTTTTACATAAGCCAATAAAAAGTATTAAAAAAAGAATCTTGGGCAATATCCTAAACTAACTTCTTTCTGTGTATCCAATTAAAATTTAAAATACTCTTTCTACAAAGTATCAATCTTGATCCAACACTGAAAGACAGGAACAGAATAAAAATGTGAAAACCAAAGGCTTCATCTCAGTATTTTCAGAAACTGCATATTAAATATTTCTTAGCAGAAAAAAAAAATGCTAAAACCAGAGTGAGATATCATTATGCACCTACCGGAATGGTTAAAACCACAACGAATTCCACTGTTCTTTTCCAAGATGTACAGAGATGGAAACTCTTACTGTGGAAACACCAACTGGTGGAACCACTCTGGAAAGTTTGGCTTCATCTGCCAGAGTTCAAGATTATGTTCTCTAAGGCCTAGCAGCTGCACCCTTGGGTATGTTTTACGGGAATGTGTGCTCAATGCATAACCGTTCCCAACAGTACTGTTTCCAATAGCCCCAAACTGAAAAACTAAAACCACTCTCCAACGACCAGAGTATGTGCAAACGAGGGACTGCATTCGTGCAACGAATCGCTGCAACCAGCAACAAGAGAGCAGTGTCAGTCTCACCATACAGTTGGTGAAGAATGAGACATCCAGCCTCATTTACACAAAGCTCTAACACAGGCAGACTAAACTACAGGGGTCTGGGTTATGTGCTTTGTTGGTAAAACGCTGAAGAAAAGCTGGACAATAATTGTGTGAGGATTAAATGAGTTAATATATGTAAAGATTCCATGTTAGCAATTCACATTAAGAGATAAATATACTATAAACTGTATTTTTATGTAACTTGGCTGAATATATAATACAGGACTGGGGATATAGCTCAGCGGCACAATGACTGTCTGGCAAGCATGAGGTCATGAGTTCAATTCCCTATACCAAAAAAAAAA